TTTGTTCGTGTTGAATCATGTTTGGTCATGTTGAATCATGTTTGTTTATGGCGAATCATGTTTGTTTATGTTGAATCATGTTTGGTCAAGTTGAATCATGTTTGTCATGTTGAATCATGTTTGTTCATGTTGAATTATGTATGTTCAGGTTGAATCATGTTTAGTAATGTTTGGCCATGTTGAATCATATTGAATCATGTTTGGTCATGTTAAAATAATGATGTGATCATGTTTGGATATATACTATATGCAATTTACAAAGATTATATTATGTTATTTCACAGTGTGTGTTACAGTAGGAATAACGGGGAATGTCTGAAATGTGAGAGAATGTCTCAAAGGAAGACTCCAGTTGAAACACCACTGCCATCATAACTGTGGTGTCAAGATATTCTTAAATGTGCAATATATACCAAATAATGCTGTGATCCTGAATCATAGGAGTAAACAATATGTGGTGTTGTTTTCATGATGATTACATTTCTCAATGCTGCATGTACCAATGTACATAATGTATAAAATAATACTGTAATTTGTACAGTGAAGGGCAGAAAGGTGTAACTTAATATATTTATAAAAATATTGTAAATACCAATCATCATTCAAATATTTAATTGTGATAAAAAAGTGTTTGTTCATTGGATGAATCGAACTAAGTCATTCATATTAATTCAGAACTTACAATGATGTTACAACGCTATTTCTGGATTTCCGAATTTGAAATCTAACAGCCATTTTGATTTATATTTTTAAAACATTTATCACGTTCCCAGCTTTCTGCCTTTCACTGTAAACAGGGTCTTGTCATTTAGAAAATCTTACTTATTCTTAATTGAAACTAAATGGTTCAATTTCCAAGTGTTACAATCATGTGCACATTTCATTGATGCATCTAAATGCCATGATACGACGACTGGCAATTAGCTGCATGCAGATTACGATAGAGCATACAAAAGTATTCGAAATATTTTTGGTCTCAAATGATGTGAATGAAGTATGATTGTTTCTTTACCACCTGACTTTCTCGCCCAAATTGTTCTGCACTTTTTTTTTGTATATACTTCAATATTTCTGGAAATGAACCCTAATTTTGAAGTCAACAGACAAAATTTGATTCAATTTTCAGTTTTTACTCAAAAAATTTGACTAACTTTGTCCCAATTTTCTGGAGGAAAGTACACACTATAAATGGGACTATTTTTTGTGAATTTACGATGTAAAGAGAGGAACTGGTAGTGAAAAGGTTAAATGATGTGTGACCCACAGCTGTTCTGTGTTTGATGATTTTAACAAATGTTAATTTTGTGTTTTCTACAAGTCTGTACATTTACATTTATAAATGAATACAGTGTGTATGTGTGTGTACATGTATAAATATGGCCATTATTTTTATTGTGTTGACACTGCTGACATTGAATTTGATCCATGAGGTCACCTAATGTTGTACATTTCTAGCATTTCTCTTGATTTCATTACTGTATTTGCTCTATTAGACGTGCATCCCTAAAATAAGTGTGAAAAAACAAAACAAAAAAATGTTGCAGTGGGATTCCACATCAGTCAGAGTTGCATTGACTTCTGAAAGAGCAAATACTGTATAATTGACAGTTTCAATCCTGCTTTTGATCAGTCTATCTTCCTTTTTTTATAGTGTAAAAACTTGCTGTGTCGATAAATAGATATGCCCATAAACATAAATGAAAGTGTGTTTTCTGTCTTCCATTATGCGTATCACAATATAAAGAGTGTTATTCTGAATCCAGCACACGCTCTCTCATTCCTTGAAGAAAGTGAAAACTATAGTTCCCATTCAAAAGATGCACACATGATTTCTACGCATTATCAACAAGTCTTGTAAGTTTCACTCCATTGTACATCTCAGTTGTTCATTATCATCTTGATTCTTCCTTGAGAATGGCCACATCTATCACACTTGACAAAAACTTTGGCTAAATTATTTCCTGTGACTGGCTTTTTCAAAGTCCAGGAAAAAAGACCCAAACTTATTTTTTTTTTAATCAGGAACCTTTATTGTACATGTATGTATTTGTAAAATGGCAGCCAGAGTACAATGTCATTGTTTTCAAGTTATCAAGTTCAGGTACATGTATCCGCTCTTTGTCATTCATTTAATTGAACCTTCATTTGATATTTAACCTTCAGCACGACAAAATATCAGGAATTTTTAGAGCTTTTTAATTTGCGTGTTTTAATAGCGTGTGTGTTTATGCAAATGATAAAGGCATGTCAAAGGTCAAAAGTTGTATTTTCATGATCTGTTATACTTTAAATGCAATTCTTTGGTTTATCTGTATTAATCTGTATTCTAATTGAGTAAATACAGTGTTTACTTGTTAGCCACATCCACTCCTCATCAAACTGTTCATGTTCTGATGGAGGCCTTCAACTAGAAACCTATTGTTAATGCACAACTGGGATAAAACGTGTTGTGCATATGCTGTACCAATGTTCCTCGAAGGATTTACCATATGAAAAATGTTGGTATTGTGCTATTTTGACTATTCTCACTATTAAAAATACTGTTTTTTAACACTTTCAACCACACACCTATGTGGTACAGGCTAAATGTAAGGCTGTAGGTTAGAAGATTGCAGCTTGTTTTTCCAGCTATGACAAACTACAACCAAGCTGCCAACACTCTGCTGTCAAAATAGCGTAATTGGCCCTCAGATAATCTATCAGACAAACATTGGTATGCCATATGCACTCCGTATTCGTCTATATTTAACCTTTCAGATGATGTACAGGTTGGTATATAATAACATGCTTAGTAACTTTTATGAATTTTTAACACGTTTTACCCTTGTTGCTACCTTAAAGTGGTGGGAATGTGCATGAGACAGACGGTCATAGCGTATCGTCATTTAAAAATGCGTGTCTACCATGTTCCTTTGCATTTTTAGTATGTGGCTTAGGACGTGTGTGCAGGTGACACTTTGGAAATTTCTGTCTCTTTCATCCCATCCCTCTAAATATTTCGTATTTATAACGAATAATTTGATGAGTTTCAGCTTACCCCAAACCTTTGTAATTTATTTTATTTATAAACCAATAATATATTGAATGCTATTTTGTCTTCCAAAGATGTTTTTTATTAAATTATTTTAAATATTTAGTTATGTTTTTAATCAGTTCACATCGTATCTCTGAGTGAAGACTTACAGGAGTGAGGGATGGAAGGGGGGTTGTCATTTACTGTAAAATACAATTAGATATGATGTTCCAGTATTTAATTTCAGCAGCTGGTCTCTGCAAACTACTCAGTGATCTATGGCATATTTCAGTTTTTGTTTGTTTGTTTGTTTGATATTGTTTAGTGCCAATGTAATATTCAGTAACTATTGTATACACTAGTTTTGTATCTTATCAAATCATGATCTCATACTCAAATATACGACTGTAAAGCATGTCTATTGCATTAAAATATCATGTGATCGAAAATATTTGCATAAATCTGGTGTGTCTGCAAGGTACTGTAAGGTTATTACTATAATGTCCGATTAGAGTGAAGGTGTTGTCCAAGGTGCGTAGCATTGATATTTCCGAAGTGTACAATGATATATTTTACTTTTTTCAAAGAACAGTTTAAACCATTTTTGAAATGTACCTACCGATAATCACACATTGCTTGCGCATTCGGTTGAATGAGTCGCTTATTTAAAAAAAAATATATTTGATATTTGATATTTTTTTTATTAGACGCATAAAATCCTTAGGAAAGGATAAAAAGGGTCTTACAGAAAGAAATAAAAAAAAAAATACAATCTAAAAAAGAAAACAAAAAATAAAAACTTTTCTAAAAAAAAATAAAACAAGTCAAAAACAAAAAAAGACAATTTGCAGCCAATGGTGAATACAGAATATAGACCTCTTGCGTGTTTTTGTACCCATTATTAAGTTCCTACTAGCCTCCTGCATACAATTCGTACAACAGTCCCCCAACAGTGTTGTAGTACGTACAATATTTCTCAATATAGCGTGCCGTCTAGTGACTAAACCCTTCCGTGACGCAAAATGACGTAATTGGTGTGAGGGATGTCATTTTAATCGATATCAACGCAGTTAGAGGGCGTTGCTTACTATACGTGTGTTATGTGGTGGAATTGA